AATGAATGAATGAATGAATAGACACATAATAATGGTACATATTTTAGGGATACCGTTTGAGATTTCAATATATGTATATAAGGTATAATAATCAGATCAAGTAATTGGTATGCTTACTTGTTGCTTCAGATGGATACATACATACATACATATATACATAATTTATTTACATTGGTAGCATTCAAAATCTTCTCTACCATGCCTTTCCCAATATTTTCTTTCATGCAGCTAAAAACTCATCAATTCAATGTCATCCAAGTTTTCTTCTATGATATCTAGGGGCTGGGGATTTAGCTCAGCGGCATAAGCACCTGCCTTGCAAGCAGGCAGTCGTGAGTTCAATCCCCGGTACCGATAAAAAAGGGAAAAGACAAAAAAAAAAAAAAAAAAAAAGATCTTCTATGATATCTTAACTTTGCATTTTACGTTCACAATTATTATCCATTTTGTGTTAAATTTCATTAAAGGTTTAATTTCAGTGTTTAGATGTCTTAATCTATTTGGTTACTATAATAAAAACAGTAAAAATAGTCTGGATGGCTTATAAACCATAGAAATTTATTTCTCACAGGAGGGTGGAAATCCAAGACCAACAGTGGCAAATTTGGAATACGGTGAAGTTCCAAATTCATAGACTTCCATCCATTTGCTAGTTTTTGCTTAACAGAAAGGAGCAAAAGAGCTCTCTAGGGTCTCTGTGGTAAGGGCACTAATCCTATTTGCGGAGGCTCTCTCCTTATAACCTAATCATCTCTGAAACTTCTCAATTACCAATTTGAGGATTAGCACTTATTCATATGAATTAGAGAAAGGGTACAAACATCCAGCCTATAATCTTTAATTTATTTATTTATAATGTACATGTCCAGTTGTTCTAACACCATTTATTAAAATGACTACTCTTTTTCCATTGAATTACCTTTCCTTATTTGCCAAATATTGGTTGACTATATTTATGTGGGTTTATTTCTGAGTTATCAATTCTATTTCTCTTTTTTGGCTATTCTTTCATCAATACTATATTTTGATTATTGTGGCTTTATAGTAAGACTTGATATCAGGTGCTGTCACTCCTCTAAATCACCGGTGGTATAACAAAGAATTTGCAATTTCAACATGCTCTACAAACATGCTGTGAATTTCTACTTATAACTCTGGTCAAGTAGGTTGAAATGTATGGTATATCTTATTATAGCGCATAAGAGGCTAAATCACTTGCTCATCTAACAGGTAATAGTATTTGTGTTTCAGTGTCTGGCTTTAGTGACCTCTCTCTGAGACAGAAATGTTCTGGCTACTGTCAGCTACATTAGGAATTATTCCCTACTGTATGTTAAAACACTAGAATCCTATTTGATCTGTCCTGATTTTGATTAGCAGAAGTCTTCTCCCCTGCCAGGTGTGGTGATCAATTGAGGCATCACTTGATGCTCTTGGGAGAGAAAAAGCAGCTGAATTCATGCAATAAACAACTTCTTTTTCTTCTTCTTCTCCTTCTTCTTTTTCTTCTTCTTCTTCTTCTTCTTCTTCTTCTTCTTCTTCTTCTTCTTCTTCTTCTTCTTCTCTTCTTCTTCTTCTTTTCTTCTTCATCTCTCTCTCTCAGCACTTACAGATCTTAGCCTTCCTTTGAGGTTTTAAAAAAAATCTATAGTGAAGTAAAAATAATACCTTATTCACAAGGTGATAGTGGGGATCAAGTGCATTAGTATATGCAAATGTATGCCTGATATGTTAAAATATTCATGTAGGGAGGGAGACAAAGCCTGAGAGCACAAATGAATACATGATAGAAAATAATCAATAGTCACTGCAGTTATAATTGTGTTCTTCCTGTCCTCTGCTTCCTACTACCAGGCATTCATTATTATTTTACTGAGTGTCTCCTCTGTTTCACAGATTGCTTCTTTCTTTCTTGCCTTTTCTTTTTGTTTTGTTTTGTTTTGTTTTCTTTTTCTTTTTTTTTTTTTTTTTTTTGAGACATAGTCTCACTATGCAGTTTAGGCTTTTCTCAAACTCACTTTGTAGCCCAGGCTGTTTTTGAATTTGCAACTATCCTCCTGCCTCTACCTCCTGAGTGCCTGAGATCACAGGTATACACCATCATACCCAATTTACTGCTCATTCTTGTCTGTTGATACATTTAAGGTATTCTGTAACCTCACTGCAATGAATCAAGGTGTTTTATGTGATTGTATGATATTGGAATTAAATCTAGGGCCTTTGGGCTGCATCCTGAACTCTTCTTTTCTTTTTTTCCTTCTTTTTCTTTTCTTTCTTTCTTTCTTTCTTTCTTTCTTTTTTTTTTTTTAACAGGACCTCACTATATAGTTCAGGCTGGCCTTGAATTCACTATGTAGCTGAGACTGGCCTCAAACTGGTGATCCTCCTTCCTCAGCCTTCTGAGTGTTGGGATTAAAGATGTGGATCGTAATGCCTGGCTTGTTTAGTTTTTAAATTTTGAGACAGGGTATTACTAAATTGCACACAATGACTTCAATCTTCCATACTCCTCCTAAACCCTACGTGTGTAAGCAATGTGCAAAAGAATTTGCTGATATGTCTTCATTTCATGGACAGACAACTTCACAGTGGGGAGAAACAAACACTATGTATGTAAACAATGTGGAAAATCATTTGATACACAAAAATGCCATCGAATACATGAAATTACGTACACAGGGTAGAAACCCTATGAATGTAGGCACTTTGGAAAATGATTCTCTGTACAGTCTTTATTTTATAAACATAAAATCTGTGTATGTAAGAAATGTGGAGGGAAAAATTCAGGTAACAGAGACCCTAAGCCTCATACTGGACCCAAAGCCTATGTAGGCAATGTAGGAAAGCTTTCAGTATAATGGGTATTGTCAATATGTGAAATAAGTCACACTGAAGAAAGCTTTCAGTATAATGGGTATTGTCAATATGTGAAATAAGTCACACTGAAGAGAAATCCTATTCATGTAAGATTATTTTGAAAATTCTTTGAAAAAATACTCATGTACAGGAGACCTGTAGAAATAATATAAAAATTATGATGTCATTGTTTGTTCATAAATTTTCTAGAAAACATCTCTGAGAGGAGATATCCTAAAGTATATTCATTCTGCATTTTTCAGTAAATTGCTTATAAATATGTTAAAAATTAGGCCAGAGATACAACTCAGCGGCACAGTGCCTGCCTGGCAAGCATGAGGTCCTGAGTTCCATTCTCAGTGCCAAAATAAATAATAAATAAAAGTGTTTGCACTCTCCTGTCTCAGTCTCCCAAACTGGGATTATCAGCACGTACCGTGACACCTAACTAGAAAAAGTGGGGGTTCTGCATTACAATAATCTGAGTTTTAATTCAAACTGTACCGCATTCTAGCTATGTGACTGTGGGAGTGTTTTTAAATCTACTATAAGGATTTATCTCCCAACGAAAGGATTCAATAAATTTTAGCTATTATTCAGCCTAATTAACCCAACGATCCTAGTCATGGTTGCAGCCTGCAACTAGGGAACTATGGACAGATGAACTCAAACCTTTCTTCTAGTTCTAAAGTCTATAAATTTTAATTTATACATTCAGTGTAACTGCTGAGAGGGAACGACCAGGAAGAATGATCCCCATCAGTTTTAGAAGAAAGGCATGAAAGGCTTGGTGAGCTGAATTCACAATATTAGATTCTTCCTTCTCCAAGTGGGCAACAATCAGCCTTTGGGAGCTCACAGGCTAATTCACATTAATGATGTGAGCAGAATGGGGGTGGGGGAAACAATTCCTAGAGTGATAAACATGGGAGAAATAGTTTAAGTGCAAAATATTTAAGTCTAGTCCTGTCTGAGAGGAGGTGTTGCCTGGTTTTCACAGGAAGGATAAGCAGTGTTAGAAGGCAAAATTAGGCAGCTCTGGTTTTCATCCCCAACTTGCTTCCTTATCAGCTGTGCTACCCTGGACAGGTTGCCTTTCACCTCTTTATGTGTGCTACAGCTTCCTCTTCTGCAAAGCACAGATAGCAACAGTACCTTTTTAAGGGAGCAAACCCAAAACAGTGAAAAGGAATTACTATGATCTGACAAGTTGCTCCCTGTGACAGTTTTCCTTCTCAGAAAGTGATACTATCCTCTTTTTCCGGTTTAGGACTTCTGATTTCTGTCTTAGGAAGTTAGGCGTAGTTCATCCCTTGGCACTTGGAAATTTTCTTAGAGAGTAGGTTGTCTCCATCAGACTTGGGACTCCATACAGATGGAACTTTTTCGGAGACGAACGGAAACTGTAGTGATTTCATTAGTTTCTGATGGACCTGTCTGTCTCTCCCATCAGCCTGAGAAACTCCCAGAGAGTGTATGGGTGACTCTCCTCCAGGTCACTAGGCTTAGGACTGATTCTCCTTTATCCTCCTCTGTCAGGTTCAGGAGACCAAAGAGGAATGTGCTACTCAACAGCTCCCTCAAAGCAGGAAGGAATAGGTTGAGGCTTGGCTCTGTGGGCCCTAGCCTGAGGGGTCTTGCAACTCAGGGGCTTAGAGGACCTGAGGAGCTCCTAGGGGACTTTAGTAGGCTCTAAGGAAAATGGGCCAGGGTATTAGGAGAGAGTTCTAGAAGCCATGTGGGGGAGCATTTCATGCGGCGGCGGGGGTGGGAGGTGCGTCCAGGTAACTAATGGCAACCGGGCGGGGCAAGCCCGCTCCACAGGAACTCCTCAAAGGCAGAAAACTACGACTCCCAGAATGCCCCAGGGCTTCGCCCAGCTTTCCCGCCCGCCACTGGCTGCCGGTCCCGTGAGAGGCAAAGCGGATTGGTCGCGGCGGCTCCCCTACTAGCATGTTAGTAGGCGCCGCCGGTAGCAGACGTTGACCGAGCGCGGGGAGGGAGGGGGTGCAGCTGGGGCCCTGCCTCGCCATTCTGGAAGCTCCCGGACGCCGTCTCCGTAGCGTAGCTGCTGGTTGTGAGGCCCCGAGAGGGCGCGGAGACGGCGTGACGCAGGCGCAGTGCTGGGTTTCTCCTGGGTCCCCAGACAGCTGGAGGAGATAAACAGAGGAGGAGGAGGGAGGGGAGTGCGTGTGTGAGAGCGCGCGAGGGAGTGTGAGTGTGTGTGAGCGCGGGTGTGAGGCGGTGCGCAGGGGCGGGCGGAGGCGCTGTCCGGCCCCGGCCAGGCGCCGGGCGGGGAGCATGGGAAGAGGCTAGAGTTGCCCGGGTCCTCCAGCCCCCTTCCCGGGATCCGCGCCCCCACTCCCGGGAGAGGGGCCGGGCTCCCGGGACCGACATGGGCTCCTGAAGTTGCGCCGCTGGTCCGAGGAAGAGACCTGACAGGTACGCGTCGCCGCAGCACTCTCCTCTCTGTAGGCACCGAGGCGGGGACCGGCTCCCGCAGCCCAGGCACGCGGGCCGCCCGCTCTGGGCCGGCTCCAGCCCTGTCGGCCTCGGGGCCTGGAGCCCGCCGGTCTTGCCGCCCCAGGGTGTCCCGAGGTGGGGCAGGCCTTGCGGGGGCGGAGGGCAGAGTGGGCCGGGGCAGGGTGGGAAAGAGGGGCAGACCGGGACTAGGGGGGAGGGGTACGGTGTCTATCTTGGGAGGCTCTGCCAAGGTGAGGTGGAAATCATCCTTTCGCAGGACTTTTGTTGTTTTTGGTGGTTTTTCCCGAGTTTTTGACATCTGATCTGGCGTTGGTCTCAGAAAGAAAGAGGCAGGTGGAAGTTACGAAGGGCAATGACCTGACCTGTTCTCCTCCAGTCAGTTGTCTCTGTTGCTCCCCTCTCTCTTCTTTCCTTCCCTGTCTCATTTTCAGGCTTCTGGCCGCGACAGATGCCTTCAGTGGGTTTATCCTGGTACCAAACTGAACTTTGCCAAGGTGTTTACACCAGCGATTGTTGCACCCGGTACAAAGGGCCTCTACTTGGAAATGGGCTATTCCGTACCTACTTTAAAGGATAAATACGAAGCGCGGAGATATGGAGGTCCGCGAACCAGCAGAATCCATTCTCTTTGAAACTGCAGTGGGGCGTCCCATTGCCAGCTGCGAGCAGTGTTGAATTTGCTTGGTGCCCTTTGGCTCACTCTTGGCTGCAAGCGTACTACTATGGTTCTAGAGTAGAGCGTGTCCAACAGCACAATGTAATTGTTTGCCCTAAAGTTCCTCTCAGATTTTCTTTAACCTCCTAAGCTGGCAGTAAAGCAGTTTTAAAGTACTTCTCTCAAGTTTATGAATTCAGAAGCCTGAGAGAGTGACTGTGTAGTCTCCAATTCTTTCCAAGAGTGGGAGGATGATCTGGGTAAAATACCAGTTAAGTTTTTTTGTTGTTGTTGTTTTGTTTTTTTTTGTCTTTTTGAGACAGGGTCTCACTATGCAGTTGGCTGGCCTTGAGCTCACTTTGTAACCCAGGCTGGGCTGGTTTCGAACTTAAAGATCCTTCTGTCTTAGCCTCCCAAATGCTGGGATTACGGGCATGAGCCACCACGCCCGGCTAAGTGTTTATTTTTTAAAAGTGTTTTGGGGATGGAGTGTCCAGAAAGATGGCATAGGCAGCATTCCTTCTTTCCTCTTTCCTATTTATTTATTTGTGTTGGTGGAGATTAAACTCGGGGCCCCCAACCTGCTACACAAACACACCTTCTAACACTGAACTACATCCTCAGCTTAAGTGTTCCTTTTTAAACAAGTCTGAAACAGTATTAAAACTTATCCAGAGGGCTTCTTCTGACTTGGTGACAGTATGAAAATCCTTACTGGTTCACAGGTATGCCCAGTGGTTTGCAGTTAGCTTTTTCTGTACTTCAGTTCAAGAATCAGGGTCGCTCACTATCCTGAAGGAACTACTTAAAGCAGTTTTTGATATGAGTTCTAGCTTATTTTTGTATCTATTTTATTTATTTATCTATTTTTTTTCTTTTTCTTTTTTTTTTTATCAGTACCGGGGATCGAACTCAACTGCCTGCTAGCTAGGAAGGCGCTTATGCTGCTGAGCTAAATACCCAGCCCTATTTTGTTTTTTTCAAGACAGGATCTCTAATTCAGACCAGCCTTGGACTCACTGTGTAACAGCCTAGGCTGGACTTGAACTTGCAGCAATCCTTCTGCCTCAGCCTCCCAAATACTGGGATTACAGGTGTGCACCACCATGTATGGATTGGAATTGAAGTTTTATTGTTGGGTTTAATACCCTGATCCTCTAAAACAGACTAAGGAGTAACTAGTAAGGCTGAGTTTGATTTCTTCATTGTAGGTTATATCTCATTGGTAGACCAGAAGCATGTTTGTGTCTTAATTTGTGATTACACTATCTAAAAAATTTGGGGTCCTCCTCTGTCTTCCTCTTTTTTTTTTTTTTTTTTTTTTTTTTTTGTCCTTTTTTTCTCTTTTGACCTATTTGGAGGCACTTATATTCAAGTCACATCTCAACTTGTAGAGGTAGTGCTTTTGGGTAAATTGCAGAATGTAAGTTTGAATAAACTTACATTTCTTCTGGTGACTCCTCTGGTAGCCACTGAAAAAATATGTATAATGGTTACTATAATAAATATGTACATATGTTTATATGCAGGTATAAATACATATAATGATTACTATGATGATGTTAACAACAATTTGCCAGTTTTGAGTTTTGGGATTGTCACATAAGTGGAGTTTTTTTCTAGATGGAAAGAATTCAGTATTGACTCATTGAATATCCTCTGTCGTGTATTTTCATGCACCTGGACTTCAGAATTTAGGACTGAAGTAGACAGCTTGAAGACCACTTGCAAATACCTGTGGGCCTTGACGTGCCAACTACTGGGGAAGATCTAGATGTTGATTTGTTTTTTATATTTTTGTTTTTTTGTCTCCTTTTCAATTAGGGAATATGGCCTACATGTACAGTTGAGTCTCAGAGAAGGTCATAGGTAAATATGTGAAATGGTGACATTTGCCTTTTCTTTCTTTCAGTTACTGGCTTATCTGTTCTGTTTCCTTTCTTCATTCATCCTGTTTCCAGGTGCTCCACTGCATCTTTGGGCTATCATTGCTCGTCTCTGGACGCACAGAACCCATGCACTACACTTTCTTAGCTGTTTTGTTTTCAAAAAACAGGATCCTGACAGTTGCTATCAGAAACCTGAGGTTAGGTTAATTTTAGCTAACTTACTTTGAGAGATACTGTCCTTAAAAAATGACTGATACTTATTGAGAGCTGGTATATGTTTGTGAGCCTAGAATGTAGACCAGGATTAAAGAAGGAAATTCCAAGTCGTAGATTTTTGTTTTATAGGAGAAAATTGGCTTTTTAAAAACAAAGTAGGCTGCCTGTAGGAGAGTGAGTTACTCATCATTGGAGGTATTTTAGACTTAGTCACTTCAAGGATATGATAAGGGCTTATACTTATGTCGATTATTGAACTAAGTGGTCTTTTATTATTTTAAACTTTGTGAGTCTGAAAATGATATCAAATGCCTTATCTTTTTGATATGTAATAGATGCGTATTGACACTTGCTAGACACTACAGTATCTCAGAAACTCCTTAGTCCTCAGAAACTCCTTAAAAGGTAGGAATGATCTTTAGCCACAAATGAAGAAACTAAGCCTCCAGAAAGTTAAATATGGTGGAGAGCCAGACCTGGTGATTCACACCTATAATCCCAAGACACTGGGATCATAGTGTCTTGAGGCAGAAGGATCACAGCTTCAAGCCCAGCTTGGGTAATCTTAGTAAGACCTGTCTGAAAATTAAAAAATAAAAAAAGGGAATATAGCTCAGTACGAGGGCCCTGGGTTCAATCTCAAATCCCAAGTGCTGCCAAAAAAAGATAAAAGGAAGAATGAATACTGGAGGTTACGTTGCTAGTAATTGTTAAGATGTTATTTGGGGCTGGGGATTTAGCTCAGCGGCATAAGCGCCTGCCTTGCAAGCAGGCAGTCGTGAGTTCGATCCCTGGTACCGATAAAAATGAAAAAAGACCAAAAAAAAAAAAAAAAGATGTTATTGGAACCTACATCTATTACTCCTCAGCTCTGTGACCTAGAACAACTCATGGGTTCTCGCTGAGCTACAATTTCTTCATCTGTAAAATGAGACTTACAATGACATCTGCTTTATAATGTGTTTATCAGGACTAAATGACACTATTATATGTTTTTTACCGGATATCAGTGGTTGCCTTCAAGAGCCAGGGCTTGGGGATAAAGGAGTATCATTTTATTGCCTTCCTTAGAAGTAAGTTTGGGCCTGACCAACACCCTGAAAGTTCTGGGACTCATTCTTTGTGCTATTAGTAATGGCTGTAGACTCCTTGAAGGGCTTTGTGGCATTAGTGACTAATAACTAAAAATTTGGAGTTTGAATGTGGGGAAGATATAGTCAACAGGTCAAAATAGAGGCGGTGGTGCAGAGGCCCAGTGAAAAGAAAATTCTTAGCCACTCCTACAGAGCCAGATTGAAGGGTTACTGTTTGTATTTTTATATTTAATGTCTTTTAGAATGAACAAGGTCACAATTAGTAGAGCTGTGCCAGAGCTAAATGCCAAGAATAATGACCCTTAATCCTCCTGGTAGCCATCTGGGGAGGTATTAACCCCATTTTCTTTGGGTGGGGGTGGGGAACTTGCCCAGAGTGCTATTTAGAGACTTTTAGGGCAGTGTTAAGATCAGAATTTTGGTAAAATTTTGTTATTATTCATAACTCTAGATTTTGTTGGTGGGACTGTGTAATTGAGGCTGATCTTGAACTCACTAGGTAGCCCAGGCTGCCTTTGAACTCACAATAATCCTCCTGCCTTCAGCCTCCTGAATACTGGGCTTACAGGTGCATATCGCCAACCTGGCTCCCAGATTCTATTTGTAAGAAGAATAAAACCACTTATCCCTTACCTTTTTAGGGAGACTTTCTCAGAATGAGAGCCAGGCCATTCTGTTCAGGAACTTCTGCAGTTGAGACCTGAGTGTGCTGTTGCTGATCTGATGGCTACCTGCTTCCCTCTTGAGACATCTGCCTGGATGCGGCACAGCTGCAACTCAGAAAAGAAGCGTTTTCGAATTGATCAGCTTCATTTTCCTTGACCTTTCTTTTTGGAGTAGAATAGGGAAACTTCAGTGGCTTCCTTATAAGAGGTACTTTGAATTGTGACAGGATTTGGAAAGATGTAAGTTTGGAAATATTCAAGACTGCAGATGCTCTTAAGTAGTGAGAAAGAACAGCACTGTTAAAATATGTTCCTTCCTTGCTTTCTTTTTTTCTCCTCTTTTATGAAACTGGGGGTTAAGCCCAGGTCCTTATGCATGCTAGGCCAGTGTTCTACCACTGAGTTATAGCCACAGCCCTTTTTATTTTATTTTTATTTTTATTTTGTACTTTTGAGCAAAAGTTGCCCAACTGACCTTGAACTCATGATCCTCCTACCTCAGCCTCCCTAGTAGCCAGATTACAAGTGTGTACTACCACATCTGCCCCCTCCTCCACCTTTTTTTTTTTTTTTTTTTTTAGCCCTCCACTATTTGAGCATTTGGGGCCTAGGAAAAAGCCTGAGAGAAAGTGATTGCTGAAAATCAGAGTTCTGAAAACATCTAGGAAAAATGTTAACAAAACTCAAATGGTACTGTGAGCCCATTTAGGCCAATGGGACATCAAAGTGAGTTCTCATCCAGACTCGCAGAAAGTGAAGCATTTCTTAGTTTGGACTTCACCGAGAAAAACTTCAATTAGCTCCATATGGAGTCATTTGAACCAGGAACCTCCAGGATGGGAAAGATTTGTTTCAAAGATGTTTTGCTGATGAGCCTGTCCCACCAACCAAATTTAGTCCATGACCCTAAGGTGGCACTGTACAGTATGTATTTGAAACCAGCAGAGCAAAGGCAATTTTGTTTTGTTTTGTTTTGTTTCATTTCTGTTTCTTGGTGCTACAGATTAAGCCTAAGGCCTTGTGCATACTAAGCAGACATTTTACCACTTGAACTATACCCTTAGCAAAAGTAATGTTGATTTCTTCCCTTATCCCTAAAGAATGATAAGAAACAGTTTCTTTTAGGTAAGACTGCTTGCACATGGTTGGATTAATGATAACAGTAGTAATTATTTTTTAGTGAGCATTGGCCAGGGCTTGAGTGTCAGACTATCTAGGTTGGTTCTTTATTTATTTATTTATTTATTTATTTATTTTGTCTTTTCCTTTTTATCGGTACTGGGGACGAACTCACGACTGCCTGCTCTCAAGGCAGGCACTTAAGCCGCTGAGCTAAATCCCCAGCCCCGATTCTCCATTTAATAACTACATGACTTTAGCAAATTAACTTTTCTAAGCCTCAGCTCCTACTCTGTAAATGATAGTAATAGTGTCTTGTAAGGCTGTTATGTGGTGAGATAACGTCCGTAAACTGTTTAGAATGTTCAAAAACTCTTATTTACCAGGCTGAGTGTCAGACATTTTACATGTACACTCTCCCATTCCTCATCACCCTGCAAAGATAGATATTACCAGATAAAGAAACTGAAGTTTAGAAATGTTAAGTCACTAGAAAATAGGTGACAAAACTGAAATTTAAATGTAGTTTTGCTAAATTCTTCAGTTTTTCATTTACTATGGTACTCTAACAAAGTTTATGCATTAAAAAAAAATGCTTGGCCTTTACTTTTCTTCTCTTCTATAGAATTGCTCCAGTAGGAAAATCATTTCAAACAGAGTAAAAGGAAACTTGCGTACATCTTTTGCATAATTCAGTGTTGAAAGGGAGTCAGTTGTCACTCTGGCTGGGGGTGCCTCCCTCTTGTGGTAGGCTGCATGTCCAAAGGAAAGAGAATACAGATACTTTAGATTTTAGGTCTAGACCTAAGATGCTGCTAAATAACAGTGTCTCTTTATAATTATAGCAGAATGTCATTGGAATAGGTTTTGAAGCTTATCTCTGAGTCCACTTAAGAGTGACATGTCTTACTCAGGCAGCTACAGGCCTGAGGTGTAAGACCTCCAATCCCATCCCAGGGCATCTTCCTCAATTCTATGTCCTGTTGTACTTCAGTACTTGTGTGTTAAATAGGGATTAATAATAGCTTTTGGCTTCTTCACAGGATTGTTCTGAAGCAAATTGAAGGCATGAACAAAAGCACATTGATAGATATAAAACCTTATATGTATACCAAGGAAGTTATGCTGCTGTTCATTCAGCAATAGTTATTGCTACCTGCTAAGCTCACATCACTCCTGGGAGACCTAAAAGTGGTAGATGAGTTACATGAATAGCTGGCTTTCAGGATACTTTGTCTTGTTTGTTTGTTTTTGTTTTTTGAGATGGAGTCTCACTATGCAGTTGAGGTTGACCTTGAACTCATGCAGCTCAGGCAAGTATATAGCTTAGCAGATTCTGATGTAGTCCCAAAATCATGCAATTATCATCACTTTCTGATACTAGAAAATTGTTTTACCTAAAATAAAAAACAAGTATAAACAATTTTTTTTATGGAAAATGAGATAATATAATAGCCATTGTTCATTTTTGATTATTTGGTTCTGAATGCCCTGTAATACTTTTATTCTCTTGGATGGTTTTATACTATTTTGTTATGTTTGATACTATTGTATGTGAAGGTATGCTCAACTATTTCAAAGAAAGAGACATTATGGTAGCTACTGTTAATATTGGGTTGTCTCGTGGTGAAGTACAGTGTTGCTTATATTGTTCTGTTCTGATCTGCTTTGTTCTGTCCTCTTTTGTCTTAATCTCTTTAAAATTAAAAAAAATCAAAAAACATTCTTTTGAGCTGTTGCCACCTACCCCAGTCATCGCCATCTTGTCCCATAGCCCTAAGCAACTGATAATCTATTGTCTCTAGGTTTTCTTCTTGACATTTCATATAAAGAATCATATAATATATTATCCTTTGTCTTTTGTGATTGGCTTCTTTCACTTTCAATTATGTTTTCTGTTACTATATTTTCCAAACTGTAGTGTGAAACAGTACTTCATTCCTTTCTATGGTTGAATAATATTCCACCTGATATGGGTGTATCGTGCTATATTTATCTATTCACCAGTTGATGGACTTTGGATTGTTTCTACTTTGGGGCTGTTAAGAATTTCTGTGAACCTACCAGTACAAGACTTTGTGTGGACATTTGTGCTCAGTTCTCTGGGTATATTCCTAGGAGTGGAATTTCTGGGTCATGGGGTAACTCTGTTTAACTTTTTGAGGTAGGCCTTTTATTGTTTATGGTGCTGGGTATCAAACTCAAGGTTGTGATATGCTAGGCACATGCTTTCCCACTGAGCTACAACCCCAACCTCAGGTGGGACTTTTAAAGGGCTAGGAATATAGTGCAGTGATAGACAAATTAGCATGCGCAAGGGCCAGATACTTTCTTACTGCAAATCGCATTTCGTTTATAGTAAACACTGCATTATGCTAGTTATCCTATGGAATCCTCACAGCAGCTCATAAGGAAGATGCTAGTATTATCTGTATGTAAGGGATGAAGACATAGCCAGCATTTCTTGAGCACTTAATGTGCAAGGCATGTGCTAAGTGTTTTACAATGCATTACCTCATTTAATATTCCCAGTAACCCTACAAGATAGATATATAACATATACCTTTCAAGTAAAAAAAAAAAAACCCAAGACCTTAAAAAGGTAAGTAATTTTACTCAAGATCACAAAATCTAGAGAGTAGTAGAGTCAGATTCAAATTTAAGTTCCTGTTTTCCAATATTAGAGATTAAATTCAAGCCCTTGTGCATGCTATGCAAGTGCTTTACAACTATACTACATCGCTGTCCCTTCAAAGCTCATTCCTAACTGCTGATTCTACATTATCATAAAAATAATGGTTTACTCTAGACTATCTGGAAAATAAGAACAAAAACATCATCTGTCTTCCCAACGTTTTGCTGAATGTCCTTGGTTATCACATTGTAAGAGTATATATTTCTTGAGTTATCTTCCAACTCAAGGGAGTTGGAATTCCAACACGGAGACGAAGGCATGAGTTTGAGGCCAGCCTGAAGTGCTTAACAAGACCCTGTCTCCAAAACAACAACGATAACAAAACATTCTGCTGTATTTTATGTATACTTTTATTTATTCATGCATTTTGCAGTACTTGGAATGGAACCCAGGGCTACATCCCTAGCCCTGTTTTTATTTTGAGATAAGATCTCACTCAGTTGCCCAGTGTGGGCTCAAACTGGGGATCCTCCTGCCTCTGCCACCCAGCCTGGCTTTATAAATCTTTGTTTTTGTTTTTATTTTGTAAACATTCTTGAACAAATTGGGGTGGGGGGAATCCTGAGAATTGAACCTAGGACATTCATGTTAAGCTATATCCCCAGCTTGCCACTGCCACCACCACCCTGCCCATTTTTGGAGTTTGAGGTGGGTTTTTTTTTTTTTTTTTACTTCTTTATTTTGAGAAAGTCTCCCTAAGTCATTAAATTCCCAGGCTGGGATTGAATTTCCAGTCCTCCTGCCTTTAGCCCCCTATTGTGCTGAGATTACAGGCATGTGCTACCACATCTGACTTGTACAAATTTTTGTGTGAATTTTTTTTTAAACAAAATTACATTTTTCCTTCTGATTTTATATTTTAAAGCTAGCAGAGGTCATAAAGACATTGGTGTTCTCTGTGTGCCTTACCTCTGCTCCTACAATGGAATCCACAATGTCAATTTCAACTCTGGTAGAGAATTGAGGGAGAAATACTATTGAGTATGTAAAACAGAAATTACCAGATTTTAGTGGAATTTACATTTATTTGGCTTATATCTATTGAACATCTACTATAATCCAGGTACAACTATGTACTTTCATATATACATATTTATTCCTCAAAACAACATATTAAAGTAGTTATTAACATTCTTTTTTTTTTTTTTTTTTTTTTTGTCTTTTTCATTTTTATCGGTACCGGGGATCGAACTCACGACCGCCTGCTTGCAAGGCAGGTGCTTATGCCGCTGAGCTAAACCCCCAGCCCCCTGTTATTAACATTCTTTTTGCAAATGAAATAAAATTCAGAAAGGTTAAATAACTTGCCTAATTGACACATTGAAGGGACTGGAATCCAGGCCTAGGTACCTAAATATTTTAAGTGTATTCTCTTTCTGGTATAAGACAAGGAC